TCCTCTTCCTCCTCCTCTCCTCCTCTCCTCCTCCTCCTCTTCCTCCTCCTCCTCCTCCTCTCCTCCTCCTCCTCCTCCTCCTCCCTCCTCCTCCTCCTCCTCCTCCTCCTCCTCCTCCTCCTCCTCCTCCTCCTCCTCCTCCCTCCTCCTCCTCCTCCTCCTCCTCCTCCTCCTCCTCCTCCTCCTCCTCCTCTCCTCCTCCTCCTCCTCCTCCTCCTCCTCCTCCTCTCCTCTCTCCTCTTCCTCCTCCTCCTCCTCCTCCTCCTCCTCCTCCTCCTCTCCTCCTCCTCTCCTCCTCTTCTCCTCCTCCTCTCTTCCTCCTCCTCTTCCTCCTCCTCCTCCTCCTCCTCCTCCTCCTCCTCCTCCTCCTCCTCCTCCTCCTCTCCTCCTCCTCCTCCTCCTCCTCCTCCTCCTCCTCCTCCTCCTCCCTCCTCCTCCTCCTCCTCCTCCTCCTCCTCCTCCTCCTCCTCCTCCTCTCTCCTCCTCCTCCTCCTCCTCTTCCTCCTCCTCCTCTCCTCCTCCTCTCCTCCTCCTCCTCCTCCTCCTCCTCCTCCTCCTCCTCCTCCTCCTCCTCTTCCTCCTCCTCTTCATCTTCATCTTCCTCTTCCTCCTGACGTCACTGAGTTAAACTTGTGTTGGAAAAGTCTCTCTGTTTTTCTTTGATCATGAACCTGAACATTTGTATTTTGCTAAACCCGGGTGTGACGCTAACTGGAGGCTCTGCTCCGTCTGAACCTCTGGGACTCAAACTTTAATGTGAGTTTTATTTGAACTCAGTTTGACCATAAAGACCCGACTGACCTGAGTGACCTGAGCTCCAACAGGAGACAGGTCCTGAGCTGTGAAACACGTCACACACAAGATAGTGTTAGCATTAGTGTTAGCATTAGCATTAGCGTTAGCATTAGCGTTAGCATGATCAGGTGCTGAGTCGATTTGACCTTTATATAAAATAAAAATAGGAAAAGTGTCGTGTTCAGCAGCTCAGGTCCTGTCTCCTGTTGGAGTTCAGGTCACTCAGGTCTTTCTGCTCAGATCTGCGTTTACACGTGGCCAAGTATTTTGAAAAAGGAATATTTCCCTCCCTCCGTTTTCCAAACTAACATGGTGCAAACGTTTCGTTTACATCGACCCGGACTTTATTAAAGACTTTATTAAACAAGGTTTAATAAATAAATACTAAACTAAAAGTGACAACGACTCATCTGTTCATTTAATCATATTTTATAATATTACGGCAGCACATCTTTGCAGTAAAACACATGTGTTTTTTCGCTGTTTCAAGGGTTTTATCGCCATATTTTTAAGTCTGTCTATGATGTGTGTGAGGACTGGTCCTGTGTATTTATACATATACACGTAGATACGTGCACACGCTGATCTGAACGGTCAAATTATGAGTGTGTGCGAGAGATTCAGATGCCCTCCCCTGGAGAGGGAAAGGAGCGAGGGAAGGACACGAGGACACAGATTTAACATGAAACACATCAGATACAGATGTTATTCTGCCAAATAAAGTCCACATGAAACATCCAAACTGCTGAACCTGTGAGTGTGGGTCTGTGAGTGCGGGTCTGTGAGTGCGGGTCTGTGAGTGCGGGTCTGTGGTCTGTGAGTGCGGTGTCTGTGTCTGTGAGTGTGGGTCTGTGGTCTGGGTCTGTGAGTGTGGTCTGGGTCTCTGTGAGTGCGGGTCTGTGAGTGTGGGTCTGTGTGTGTGGGTCTGTGTCTGGGTCTGTGAGTCTGTGAGTGTGGGTCTGTGAGTGCGGGTCTGTGAGTGTGGGTCTGTGTCTGGGTCTGTGAGTGTGGGTCTGTGAGTGTGGGTCTGTGAGTGCGGGTCTGTGAGTGCGGGTCTGTGAGTGTGGGTCTGTGAGTGTCTGTGAGTGCGGGTCTGTGAGTGCGGGTCTGTGTGTCTGTGTCTGTGAGTGTGGGTCTGTGAGTGCGGGTCTGTGAGTGCGGGTCTGTGAGTGCGGGTCTGTGAGTGTGGGTCTGTGTCTGGGGTCTGTGAGTGCGGGTCTGTGAGTGCGGGTCTGTGAGTGCGGGTCTGTGAGTGCGGGTCTGTGAGTGCGGGTCTGTGAGTGCGGGTCTGTGAGTGCGGGTCTGTGAGTGCGGGTCTGTGAGTGCGGGTCTGTGTGTCTGGGTCTGTGAGTGTGGGTCTGTGTGTCTGTGAGTGCGGGTCTGTGTCTGGGTCTGTGAGTGTGGGTCTGTGTCTGGGTCTGTGAGTGTGGGTCTGTGAGTGTGGGTCTGTGAGTGCGGGTCTGTGAGTGCGGGTCTGTGAGTGCGGGTCTGTGAGTGTGGGTCTGGGTCTGTGAGTGTGGGTCTGGTCTGTCTGTGAGTGTGGGTCTGTGTCTGTCTGTGAGTGCGGGTCTGTGAGTGCGGTCTGTGAGTGCGGGTCTGTGTCTGTGAGTGTGGGTCTGTGTCTGGGTCTGTGAGTGTGGTGTGGGTCTGTGAGTGCGGGTCTGTGAGTGTGGGTCTGTGAGTGCGGGTCTGTGAGTGTGGGTCTGTGTCTGGGTCTGTGAGTGTGGGTCTGTGAGTGTGGGTCTGTGAGTGCTGTGGTGTGGGTCTGTGAGTGCGGGTCTGTGAGTGCGGGTCTGTGAGTGCGGGTCTGTGAGTGCGGGTCTGTGAGTGCGGGTCTGTGAGTGCGGGTCTGTGAGTGCGGGTCTGTGAGTGTGGGTCTGGGTCATGTGCTCAGTTCCCCATTACACAAACATGTAGGGCAGATTTTGGTTGGGGTCAGGTTCGGGCAGTGGGCTTCGTGTTGTCCACAGACTCGGGTCACAGACTCGGGTCACAGACTCGGGTCACACACTCGGGTCACAGACTCGGGTCACACACTCGGGTCACAGACTCGTGCGTAAAGACTAAAGTAAAAGTGTTAAAGTTTTGTTCATTAAATCAAAGTCTGGCTCCTGCTGCGTCCGAGGGAAAAGTTTTTCTCTCAGGTCGGGTCATTATTTCGTCCTCTGTGTTGGTCAGTCTGTGTTGGTCAGTCTGTGTTGGTCAGTTGTGTTGGTCAGTCTGTGTCGGTCAGTCTGTGTCGGTCAGTCTGTGTCGGTCAGTCTGTGTTGGTCAGTCTGTGTTGGTCAGTCTGTGTCGGTCAGTCTGTGTCGGTCAGTCTGTGTTGGTCAGTTGTGTTGGTCAGTCTGTCAGTGTGTCAGTCTGTGTCAGTCTGTGTCGGTCAGTCTGTGTTGGTCAGTTGTGTTGGTCAGTCAGTGTGTTGGTCAGTCTGTGTTGGTTGTCAGTCTGTGTTGGTCAGTTGTGTGTCGGTCAGTCTGTGTCGGTCAGTCTGTGTTGGTCAGTTGTGTTGGTCAGTCTGTGTCGGTCAGTCTGTGTCGGTCAGTCTGTGTTGGTCAGTTGTGTTGGTCAGTCTGTGTGGTCAGTTGTGTTGGTCAGTCTGTGTTGGTCAGTCAGTCAGTGTGTTGGTCAGTCTGTGTCAGGTCAGTCTGTGTTGGTCAGTCTGTGTTGGTGTGTCAGTGTGTGTTGGTCAGTCTGTGTTGGTCAGTCTGTCAGTCTGTGTCGGTCAGTCTGTGTCGGTCAGTCTGTGTGTGGTCAGTGTGTCAGTTGTGTCTGTGTTGGTCAGTTGTGTTGGTCAGTCTGTGTTGGTCAGTCTGTGTTGGTCAGTGTGTGGTCAGTCTGTGTCAGTCTGTGTCGGTCAGTCTGTGTTGGTCAGTCTGTGTTGGTCAGTCTGTGTCAGTCTGTGTTGGTCAGTTGTGTTGTGGTCAGTCTGTGTTGGTCAGTCTGTGTTGGTCAGTCTGTGTTGGTCAGTCTGTGTTGGTCAGTCTGTGTTGGTCAGTCAGTCTGTGTTGGTCAGTGTGTTGGTCAGTCTGTGTTGGTCAGTCTGTGTTGGTCAGTCTGTGTCAGTGTCAGTCTCTGTGTTGGTCAGTCTGTGTTGGTCAGTTGTTGTTGGTCAGTCTGTGTCGGTCAGTCTGTGTCGGTCAGTCTGTGTTGGTCAGTCTGTGTTGGTCAGTCTGTGTTGGTCAGTCTGTGTTGGTCAGTCTGTGTGGTCAGTCTGTGTCAGTCTGTGTTGGTCAGTCTGTGTGTCTGTGTTGGTCAGTCAGTGTGTGGTCAGTGTGTCAGTTGTGTTGGTCAGTCTGTGTTGGTCAGTTGTGTTGGTCAGTCTGTGTTGGTCAGTGTGTGTGTCTTGGTCAGTCTGTCAGTCTGTGTGGTCAGTCTGTGTTGGTCAGTTGTGTGTTTGTGTGTCAGTCTGTGTTGGTCAGTCTGTGTTGGTCAGTCTGTGTGTCTGTGTCAGTTGTGTTGGTTCAGTCTGTGTTTGGTCAGTCTGTGTTGGTCAGTTGTGTGTGTGTCAGTCTGTGTCGGTCAGTCTGTGTTGGTCAGTCTGTGTTGGTCAGTTGTGTTGGTCAGTCTGTGTTGGTCAGTCTGTGTCTGTGGTCTTGTTGTGGACTGTGGGACTCTGTGCTGCACCGGGTCCGGGAACATGTCCGCGCTCGTGCACGAGTGTCAAATGTTTAATATTTTAGAGAATAATGATGGAATAAACAGACCTGCTCCCTGTTTTGTTGAACCAAACACTTAAATGTACAAATCTGAAGGTCATTCTTCTGTATACGTGGATTTTCAAATCAAACTCTTCCTCAAACTCTGTTCACTTCTGCTTCTCTCCACAAGTGTCGCTTTTTCCCCGTGTCTCCAGACTTTGTGTAGAACTTACAGGAGGTTCAGAGTTGGTGTAGAGTTAAACAAAGAGCCACGACTTAGTCGAGTTTTATAAACACCGCGGTTGGCGTAGGAAGCGACGACGCACGGATTTTTGCATAAGCAAGATTTATAAATGAGGCCCCTGATGTTTTCACATGTGACCAGGACACTTGGATCTGTGCTCCTGAAACTGATCCATATCTGATCTTTAACATGTGACTTGAGTGTGAACAGTCAGGTCACATTCATCCACCTACACGTCATCAACAAGACACAAACGTCACTATTCTGCACTGAAGTAGAGAAAACTGTTCATGATCCATGTGACTGAAGTGAAGCACATCTCCACTCACCACAAAACACCACCACCAAAAACCTGCTCCTTCTCCTTCTCAATCTCCTCCTTAAAACAAGTCAGTTGTTCATGTTGTGGCTCCGGTACGAGAGGAACTTTAAAAATCTCCAGGTGTAAACACAGAGACGCTCGCTGCGGTTGACGTCGTCGTGTCTCCAGTGTCACATGTGGGACACTTTTGGACCGTTTAATGTTCACACTGGAGTCACACACAAGTCACATTTAACTGGAAATGTGAAGGACCTCGAAAAAACATCAGATTTCACAAAAAAATCTGAGTTAAATGTTGAACCCTGCAGACTGAACGTCGACCTTTTGGACCAATCTGATCCTGCAACAGTAAAAAGACAAAAACTCTCATTTGTTTTTGTCTAAATACAGAAAATTTCTTGAAAATGACCAACAGATTTGTGTCGTTCACTGATTCACTCGTGGGACAGTGAAGAGTTTTTAATTACAACTCTCAGTTTTATTTTTACAAACCGCCCAAACCGAGAGTTCACTAGAATAGATTTTTTATGACTTATTTTTTAATTTTATTTAGACTTGTACATTTATATAAGTATCTTTTATTTATTGTTCACGTGTCTCTTGCTGCTTATTTCAAATTGATTATTACATTTATATTTGACTCTTTGTTCTTCTTTTGTCTTGTGACGTGTGAATCTGAGTCTGAATCATTTTCTTCTGGATCATAAAGTTTGTCTGAGTTTTTATTGTAGAACATCTGGTCGTTCTGTGATTGTGTTTCGTTGTTTGTTTGGTTCTTTAAACCGTTTCAGGTCCAGCGCGCGCAGACCGAGGCGACCATCAGGGAGGAGTTTGAGAAGATGCACAGGTTCCTTCAGGTGGAGGAGGAGACACGACTCGCTCAGCTCAGGCAGGAGGGCGACGTGAAGAGTCGAGTCATGAGCGAGAAGATCCAAGAAATCCAGAACCAGATCCAAACCGTGTCGGCCCTCGTCAACGAGACCGAGGCCACGCTGACCCAGAAGGACCTGATGTTCCTCCAGGTAAGACACCCAGACCTGAAGGACCTGATGTTCCTCCAGGTAAGACACCCAGACCTGAAGGACCTGATGTTCCTCCAGGTAAGACACCCAGACCTGAAGGACCTGATGTTCCTCCAGGTAAGACACCAGACCTGAAGACCTGATGTTCCTCCAGGTAAGACACCCAGACCTGAAGGACCTGATGTTCCTCAGGTCACACGAGACCTGAAGGACCTGCACGTCCCTGGACCTCAGGTTTTATCCTGAGTTCAGAAACATCAGGTTGAGCTTTTTGAGGGAAGATCACACCTTTTCTGATTTTGTAAGGAAAGGTTTTTATTTAATTTTATTTTTTTATATGTTTATTTGTATGATTTTTTGTGATGTGAGCATTTCTCCTCCCACTGTCAGAGAAAAGAAAGAAAAATAATCATAATTAATAATTAAACAATAACAATTGTAATATTAATAAATCATTCAGATATTTTATTTACCTAAGACCAGGAGAGTCAAACTCAAATTCCAAAATTAAAACTGGGACTAAGTCGTGGGCAAAAGTAAATATTGAAACATTTCAACAACATCTGCAGGTTTTCTTTTCTTTGCAGATGTGTCAGGTTCAACCTTTTCTTATTCAAATAAATGTTTAATAAAAGTTTTGCTTAAACACTGAATCCAGAACAAACAGAAAAGAAAATAATAACATTTGAAATAAATCATGTCTCTATAACCTTTAAGGCTTCAACAATTTCAAATTTATGTTTAGAATATTTTAAAAACATCATGGCTTCATTAGTTTTTCTAAATTGTTCTGATTGTAAATGAAGAAAAATAAACTATTGGAGCAGAAAAGAAAATGGAACATTTGCTCACAACAGGGAAATAATCATAATAATATAATAATAGAATAATCATAATAATAGAATCTAATAATAATAATAGAATAATAGAAATTATGGCTTTATTTGAATTTGAGTCTTTTGTTGATTTCCTTATAACGTTTTAGTTTTTCATTTGTGTTTTTTATGTTCTTTATTATTATTATTTCTGTTTTTATTATTATTACTAATGAATAATTGTTTGAATGTGACGTCTGAAGTCTCTTCTTCTTCTTCTTCTTCTTCTCGTGTTTGAACATAAATGTGACGTTGTGTTTGTTTTCAACAGAAATACAAACAGACGAGGAGCAGGTAAATGGATTTTACACTCACATTATTATTATTAATTATTATTATTAATATCATTATTATTATTATTACGACTGATGACAAAACAGACTCGGGAGGATGAAGTTCTTCTTTCACAATCAAAACTCTCTGTTCCACCTTGTGATGTCATCATGTGGTGNCAAAATCACACTCCAGAATCTCTGGAATCACTTTTTGTAAGAAGGATATCGCATCTTTATCCTCAGCTTTCTCTGGAAAACCATAAATGCGCAGGTTTAATCACCTTTCTCTGTCTTCTAATTCGGCGAGTTTTACCCGCAGAATCGTAACATCTTCCACCGTGGCAGACGGAGAATCACAGCGCTGCCGTTCAGCCTCCTCCAGCGAGTCCAGGCGGGACTCAGCACTGTTTACTCGCGACAGCAAGTCCGTCATTTTCTCTTCAAATGCAGAGACGGCTCTGTTTGTCTCTGACAGCTGCTTCAGGACATCGTCAAAGCTTTTCTTCTGATCCTCAATGATTTTCGTTTGGTCTGCGGCCAGTTTTTGCAAAAGCTGCATCACGGGATCCTGGTTCTCGCTAACGGACGCTTCCTCCGTCGGCTGCATGACGTTGACCGCATGGGCTTTGGTGCTAGCATTAGCACTGGACTTAAACAGCGATTGTTGCAGATTTGTCTCCGTTGTATTTTTCTTGGGACCCATTTCGTTTAACTTCGCAGCTTGTAAGAATCGCTTACATACAGGATAATGACCAACAAAATCTAAATAAAGAACGGTGGTGTCAGAGCTCAAAATCACGCAGCCATTCTACTCGCTCCCTCCCGGAAGTCGTTTTGTGATGTTTTGTGATGTTTTGTGATGATGTTTTGTGATGTTTTGAGATGTTTTGTGGATGTTTTGTGGATGTTTTGTGGATGTTTTGTGATGTTTTGTGATGTTTTGTGGATGTTTTGTGAGATGTTTTGTGGATGTTTTGTGGATGTTTTGTAGATGTTTTGTGGATGTTTTGTAGATGTTTTGTGATGTTTTGTGGATGTTTTGTAGATGTTTTTTGTGATGGATGTTTTGTGGATGTTTTTTGTTTTGGATGTTTTGTAGATGTTTTGTGGATGTTTTGTGATGTTTTGGATGTTTTGTGGATGTTTTGTAGATGTTTTGTGATGTTTTGTGGATGTTTTTGTAGATGTTTTGTGATGTGTTTTGTGATGTTTTTGTTTTGTGAGATGTTTTGTGGATGTTTTGTGGATGTTTTGTAGATGTTTTGTAGATGTTTTGTGGATGTTTTTGTAGATGTTTTGTGTTTGTGATGTTTTGTGATGTTTTGTGAGATGTTTTTGTGGAGATGTTTTGTGGATGTTTTGTAGATGTTTTGTAGATGTTTTGTAGATGTTTTGTGGATGTTTTGTGATGTTTTGTGGATGTTTTGTGATGTTTTGTAGATGTTTTGTGGATGTTTTGTGATGTTTTGTGGATGTTTTGTGATGTTTTGTGGATGTTTTGTGATGTTTTGTAGATGTTTTGTGGATGTTTTGTGGATGTTTTGTAGATGTTTTGTAGATGTTTTGTGGATGTTTTGTAGATGTTTTGTAGATGTTTTGTAGATGTTTTGTAGATGTTTTGTGGATGTTTTGTAGATGTTTTGTAGATGTTTTGTGAGATGTTTTGTGGATGTTTTGTGGATGTTTTGTTGTTTTGTAGATGTTTTGTAGATGTTTTGTGGATGTTTTGTGGATGTTTTGTAGATGTTTTGTGGATGTTTTGTAGATGTTTTGTAGATGTTTTGTAGATGTTTTGTGGATGTTTTGTGGATGTTTTGTGGAGATGTTTTGTGGATGTTTTGTAGATGTTTTGTAGATGTTTTGTAGATGTTTTTTGTGGAGATGTTTTGTGGATTTTGTGGATGTTTTGTAGATGTTTTGTAGATGTTTTGTAGATGTTTTGTAGATGTTTTGTAGATGTTTTGTGGATGTTTTGTAGATGTTTTGTAGATGTTTTGTAGATGTTTTGTGATGTTTTGTAGATGTTTTGTGGATGTTTTGTAGATGTTTTGTAGATGTTTTGTGGATGTTTTGTGGATGTTTTGTAGATGTTTTGTGGATGTTTTGTGGATGTTTTGTAGATGTTTTGTAGATGTTTTGTGATGTTTTGTGGATGTTTTGTGGATGTTTTGTAGATGTTTTGTAGATGTTTTGTGGATGTTTTGTAGATGTTTTGTAGATGTTTTGTGGATGTTTTGTAGATGTTTTGTGGATGTTTTGTGGATGTTTTGTAGATGTTTTGTAGATGTTTTGTAGATGTTTTGTGGATGTTTTGTGGATGTTTTGTGGATGTTTTGTAGATGTTTTGTGGATGTTTTGTGGATGTTTTGTAGATGTTTTGTGGATGTTTTGTGGATGTTTTGTAGATGTTTTGTAGATGTTTTGTAGATGTTTTGTGATGTTTTGTGGATGTTTTGTGGAGATGTTTTGTGTAGATGTTTTGTAGATGTTTTGTGATGTTTTGTAGATGTTTTGTGGAGGTTTTGTGGATGTTTTGTAGATGTTTTGTAGATGTTTTGTAGATGTTTTGTAGATGTTTTGTAGATGTTTTGTAGATGTTTTGTAGATGTTTTGTAGATGTTTTGTAGATGTTTTGTGGATGTTTTGTAGATGTTTTGTGTTTTGTAGATGTTTTGTGATGTTTTGTAGATGTTTTGTAGATGTTTTGTGGATGTTTTGTAGATGTTTTGTAGATGTTTTGTAGATGTTTTGTAGATGTTTTGTGGAGGTTTTGTGGATGTTTTGTGGATTTTGTGGATGTTTTGTAGATGTTTTGTAGATGTTTTGTGATGTTTTGTGGATGTTTTGTGTTTTGGATGTTTTGTAGATGTTTTGTGATGTTTTGTGATGTTTTGTAGATGTTTTGTGGATGTTTTGTGGATGTTTTGTAGATGTTTTGTAGATGTTTTGTAGATGTTTTGTGGATGTTTTGTAGATGTTTTGTGATGTTTTGTGGATGTTTTGTGGATGTTTTGTGGATGTTTTGTGGATGTTTTGTAGATGTTTTGTGATGTTTTGTGATGTTTTGTGATGTTTTGTGATGTTTTGTGATGTTTTGTGGATGTTTTGTAGATGTTTTGTGGATGTTTTGTGGATGTTTTGTAGATGTTTTGTGATGTTTTGTAGATGTTTTGTGATGTTTTGTGGATGTTTTGTGATGTTTTGTGGATGTTTTGTGGATGTTTTGTGATGTTTTTGTGGAGGTTTTGTGGAGGTTTTGTGGAGGTTTTGTGATGTTTTGTGGATGTTTTTTTGTGATCAACTTTTTTTTTTATTGAAACGCTGCATAATCACATTGACTGTACATTCATGAGTTCTAAAATGAGTACAGCTTGCTTATATACATACATAGTCAGATATACAGCAATCCAATTATTAGTTTTTTCAAATACAAAAAGAAAAAAACACAAAAAAACACACAAAAACAAACAAACAAACAAAAAAAAAAAAAAAAACTCCCACCCCGGTCCACAGCCTCACCCAAGCAAAGGTCTGCTACAAAGTTGTTGGAGACGCTTAATGAAAACATGCCATAAGGTAATTGTGTCACTCTTGGCCCTATGCACTCTGGCTATGGAGAGTTCTAGTTGGGCCATATCCAGATACATTAAGGACCAAGCATGAATAGATAAACAGTGTGGTGGCTTCCAGCGTGTGGCCACCATTTTCTTAGCTGCCGTTAGGCCTGACAACAAAATCCTTCGCTTGGCCACTTTAAGTTTGACTTGTGAAAGGTTATTTAATATCAACACATCCGGTGAACAAGGTATTAGTACATCAAATAGTGAAGAGAGTTTACATGAAACCTGCCTCCAGAAATCCCGCACGGGTGGACATTCCCAAAACATATGTTTAAATGTGCCAATGTGATTTAAAGAGCATAATTTACATAAAGGATCTGTAATCCTCTTCATAACATACAATTTTTTGGGAGTTAAATATAACCTGATGTGCAAAATTATAATGGATTTGTTGGCGATCAGGATTCCTGGAGGACAGGCCAATGCTCTCCCACACCTCGCCCCAGTCCAGAACAGGGCTACCATCCCAGAAATCA